AAAACGTCTGTGTTGCTGGATTAATCTCTATTTTCTTGACCACTGCATTTTATTTGGGGTTAGCCCCTTTCCCTTGTAGAAATATATTCTCAAATAGACCTAATAACCATGGCAACCTGTAAGAAGTAGACTTTCCTCAGCTTTTGCAGTTGCGAAAAACGTCAACGGCACTAGTTAACCGCCTTGATTTTGGTAGGTGACCTCAGCTGGACACATGATGAGTAATTAAATTCATCACAACCTCCAAGGACACGACCTCATTGATGAAATCAGTCATCGGAATCCTTCGTTCTCCAGCATTCACTGAGTTCCATGGGTAATTACGAGCCTTTCTTATTCATTGGTTGCTAGCCTTGAGTCAAGGCTGAGGTGAGTTTTATTTATTTAGTGCGGCCTGCGTACCCCAATGAGTATTCAACGAGTTCATTAGAACATAGGAGTGTTTAAACCCAAAGACACCTTTTCATATAGACGTGTTTTGAGTGCATGTCGTGGTCAGTATGTCTAAGTTAAGGGGACTAAAAACTGATGTGGAAGTGAAACGCGGTAAAAAGATAAGAAACAGAACAAAAACGTGGCCTTGGCCCGTTAACGAAATTCATTATAGAAACAGCGGTCTCGTTCCTTTGTCATGGTCATACGGTGTTGACGAAGCCATAGCCTTGAATCTAAAATCTACACTCCCTTTCTTTAAAGCTAAATTCCTTATTATCTCTATTGTACAAAACTTTGACTTTAAATGAGAGAAATAAACGAGGGATTTCCGGTAAATGGCTTCAAGTTGGCTCAGCTTGAAATACGTAGGTGTTTGATGCAGTTGGACTGTATCTTTTGTATTATTCGGTTCGTAAGTGACTTCGTCATACACGCGGCGGGCGTGATCCCATTGAACAAACACTGAAATTGCCCGTTAACTTCCGGTTCCATTGGACAAAAACGTAAACGATGATCAATGCATGTAACTCTATGTGCAGTGCATGTGCAATGGGTGTGGTTTAAACCGAAGTGACGTCACACTTACGGGTACGGACAGAGCATTGGCGAACAGGAATAAGTAATGACGTTATTCCCTCTCAATATTGAAGTCAATAGATAACAATGTAACATATCCAAAGTCAGAGCTGCACCAAGCTGACTCATGCAGTCACTGTGTATTCTCCACGTGCAAAGCTCACCCTTGAGTAATCTTAAACATACAGGAACATCCCTTAAAAAGAACACCCCCTTTACAATCAAAACGAAAGCAACACAAAACAAAACAAAAGAAATAATGCACACCAATTAAAAAGGAATAAATAAAACACAGTTTCTAAAACATAAACAAAAGCGAAAATTAAAATAAATCAACCAGGCAGGTCGTTCAAAGGAATACCATTTACGACCTTCATCGCAGAAAAATAAAATCTGTCACCGTCATTCTTCTTTCCATGTAGCCACAACGTCAAACCTGAGGAAATCTGACCTTATTTCTCGCTCATAAAACAATGCAACTGCGCCTGTTCCAGCTTCATTTCTTGACGTGCCACTCGAGAATGAATTAGTTTGGGCGAGATAACAAGGTTGGTGGTAGTTTGATGGTCGCAAGTGGTTGTTTAGACAACCTTCGCCAGGCGATATATTAAAATGTAACGACTCACGGCACTCTCGATTTGATCGAGGTTCACGTATCCGCTCCTAGCGGAACTAAAGAGGGCGTGTTTTTTCGTACTCACCGCAGAGGCGCGCGTTTATAATGGAGATCAATGGCGCGTTTGATGCGGAGCACGCAGCGTATGCGTAACGAATTTATTTCCTAATGAAAGCATGCAAAAACCCGCTTGGAAAACTTATTACTATACACCTCATAAATATTCATGGATCGGAGCGCGTCATTGGCCGATTCCACCTCGCGCCTGGGAAGTAGAAGTGATACGCGACCATGTGACGTCATAGCGGTGAGTATCCACCTCGCTGCCGAGTGGTAGTTTTTTCTGGTAGCATCGAAAATCCCTCTGGAACCTGCCGCGTAAATATGTAATCGGTGTCATGTAATCTTTACTGAACCAGTCTGGAGTTGTATCCTAATAACTATTACAGTAAAGACCCCAAAACGTATGTCTGCACCAGACTACTGAAGCCCTGTTTCTATGCACATCTGCACTCCACTGTCATTACATGGAAATTTAGCAGCTGAGAAACAACAATGGCATCTGTGAGTACAAGTAACGTTTGAATATTTATGAAGTGTAGTAAAACAAATACAGCATGGTTTATTTCGGGAAAGTAGTGGGAATTACTGGTCCCTCGGTGTAGATTGACTACCTCCGCTAAGCTGACCTACACCTCGGGACCAGTAATTCCCTACTTCCCCCAAACCATGCTGTATTTGTATATTACCGTCTGTCTTTCCTTTTGCCACTTGGGGGTGCACTTTAACTCGGGCGGATTGTGCCTTTGGGCATGCGACTAACTGTCGTTTGGACAACTTCCACCCCACCAAATTTTTGGTGCCTTTTGACGGAAGCACAATAATGAGAAATAGAATGAAATAAAAATTAAATAGTAATCAATAAAGTGCCCTTAGAGAATCAAACAAATACTGTAGAGCCCCAAGAATTCAAATGTTGACGAACAGAATTTTCCCAAGCAAAATGAGAAAGAAGCAACTATTTCTGAGCGAAAGGATGGACCTTTGGATATTCAGCATGATAAATCATGCATTTTCTACATGTAATTGTCCAAAGACTCCAAACCCATTTTGATTGATTCCGGTAAACTAAAGTTTACATGCAGTTATTATTTCATAACTGCTGTAGTCTTTCCATTCCGTATTTGATTTGGTCATCCTGTCGTCACGATGTTTGGATTGTTTTAGTTTGCAGACTTTTGAAAGACCGAACCGAACGAGATGAGACCAGACCAAACCAAAGACCAAAACTTCGTGTGCCTTTGTAGTTGATTAGTAATCAGCCATGTAATCGTTCTGTGAAAGGAAAGGGGGTGGGTCCGTCGAATGTGCTCCCCCTTTAAATCTGACCATCATGGCAGGCGTCAAGTAAATGTGGCATTCTGTGCTTGATCATCTGGAAGGTTTTGCAGAAAACCGACAGGCTCAAAGATATTCAGGCCAGGTGATCGGCTACAACTTAGACGACGTGTACTTCAACATCAAACACCGTGTAGTAGGGGTGGTCAACCTTTTTCATCGCTGTAGGTCAGGCGTATCACGCGAGTAGCGGATCCATCAAGGCTGATAGTAATAAAGGCGACATAGGACAAGACAAGACGACGTCTGCGGGAAAGTCAATTCATGCGGTAGACATAGCTTGGAGGTTTAATATTATGTCGTTTTCAAGAGGAGACCAAGAGACGGCAGGGATGTTTGGTGCTGTGGTGATACATCATGCACATGAGGATGCGTGTGGGTTAGTGTTGGATGGCTATATAGTGTTGTTCGACAACTAGAATGAACCTCTCCCAAGAAATATGCAAATTAGACAGGTGCATGCATGTCGGAAGTGTAGGAAACCTGCTCTAACCAAAACCTGGCGCATTGAAGGTCAAACCAAATCGTATTACAGCCTTTTTCTGATGTTTCATGCACGTTTTTGTCGAAACCATAAAGTGAAGTTTTCAGTATCCTGTGGTGAAAAGTAACAATTCCTTGTCTTGAAGTTTGGCACTCATGTCAAACTGTACCAGTATGGAAACAGTGTGTATGTGCTCACAGTTGCGCAAAAATAGAGGTTTATATTGTTGCGTCATAGATTTTAGCAACTTTGTCAACCAGCGGCAGTAATGCGCCTGCCTAATTTAATGCATATTTAATGGAAAAGGTCCATTGGAAGCCATTACTGCAGTGACACTCGTGCACAGGTGGTACGCGCACGTTACAGACCTCTCTGACCAATCGGGTGTCGTGATTTGCCAAATGCATGCGTGTCAAGTGCAGTGCCACCACAGTTATGATCGACGTCTCGTCGAATTAGCCTATAGAGAAATTACTGAGGAAACATTCACGTTGTGCGCATGTTGTACGCACGTTTATGAGCGTTTGAGCGCATACAGTCGTGGAAAGAATCATCGTCTTATTAGCAATCACAATAAATAAGACAGTTTGGTTAGTATAGTGCCGGAATTAGTGCCATTTCGAAAGTGTTGGCCCTTTCGATTCCCCTGCCCCCATGGATACGCCAATACGTTGTTGGCGGCACATCCAGCAAATCTTGGCATACGCCCACATTCCCGCTCAATTGGTCCTCGTTTTGTGAACTTTTGAACAAACCACCTTGTTGAGTTTATTTCGTTTTAGGTTCCGTAAGGAGAGAGGTATGCGCACGTGAAATTCCTCAAGCGAAGCTTGAGATACTATCAGATACTATCGCAACACAGGACTCAGCAGTGCGATACTAATAAAGGACAGTAGTTTGCGGAAATTTTCTTGCAAAAGAGAGGAAACATCAACCTGTAGCATCTTTGCTTCCGATTGCAACACATCAGGTAGAAATCAATGAAGGACGTAATTTTCTCTGCGAATGAGTAGAAGACTGCTGAGTCCGCGGGTTACGTTCCCCGAAGTTATCAAATCATATATGGATAGATGTCAAGGAAGATTATTCCGCCTCGATGAAGTCTCAATGTGATTGCCAGATAACTTTGAACTGCACTTTGGGGGAAGTTCATGAATGACATCAAGGGAGGTTGATCACCATGACACCTGCTTGTCACAACACTATGTGTCAGGAAGACACCAAACATTTCGGGAAGTTCGATTTCGGTTGACGCTGGTTCCCTGTCACGCTGGTGACGATGCTATAGAATAGTCGCATAAAAGTAGCAAAGAATTTAGTTTTCCTGTTAAGTTCAACAAATCTTGTCATTTTCTACCACACGTTTTGTCACAAAAGCACTAACAAGTCTTGTTAAACAATTGTCTGGTTACATATTCAATTCCAAAAACTGTTTTGGAAGGGTAATTCCTCTGTACACAAGGGGGAGTTAGACGTTTGGCGCACCAAAACTGTTTTTACGGGAAATGGTTAGTTTTAATCAGACCGGCAAATACATTTTGGAATATTACCCGCAAAATGTAAATTGTGATCAACACAACATGAAATGTTCCAGGTTGGATGCTTCACTGACTACAATGGAGTGAAATAATATTATGTCCAAACTTGTTTCGACTTCATTTAACACTCTATTTCATGTTGCAACGTCTAGTTAATATTAAGGAATTTTCAACAACCCTTCACGCAAGTGCTAAAAGTAAATATAGCGCGCATCAAATGAAAGTAGGAAATTATGAATTCAATAAAGCATATGAAATTAATCGACATTTGGCTTCACCCAGATCTTTTGGTACTTAAAATTTAATGCAGTATTTTGAAATTACATGCAGCACAGTTGACCATGTTTTATTTGAATAATATTTGTCAGAAATTGAAGCGGCAGGCACGGTAAAGAACTTTTATTTCAGCCCCACATCGGTTTTGTTATGCTTTTTGGGACCAAGTCAGTTTTTTAAAAACACATTTATCAGAATATTTGGACTAAGTTTGATTGTTCTCCGGTAAAATTGGGCAATATTTTCGTCCTTCCAGTAAAATAGTTAAGTGTGAAGATTTTCCGTTCGTTCGTTTGAAAATGTCTGAAAATTTTCTGAACTGCACTTTGTGGAACCACGCTGCATGTGTGACCGTGGGTAAAATCTAATATACATTATTGAAAATTTATTTAATTAATTGGATGATAATTCTTTGAATTATTCTAGCAGATTTGTTGCATTGAGTAACAAAGACGTAAGGGCAAATCACTACAGGGACGAAAACACAATTCGGGAGTATTTAATACATGCTGTTTATATTAATATGCTGTTATTTACACGCAATAATTCAATCTGCATTTTCACAAGCGTCATGATGCACAAGCCGTAAGATTTAAATATCTCACACTATAGAATATATTTTATTTCTTATATATTTTAATATCTGGTTATCATTTTGCCAGCTGATCATTATGACGAACGTAGGCAGAAAGACACTTAAAGAGGTTACCTATTTACAACCACGAAAGACAAGTTGTTAAACAAGTAGTTAAATCAATCATATTACTATAATCCTTCCAAAACGTTAGGGTTACTAAGTGTCATCTCATTTTGAGCCTTGGTCCATAGTTTTTATTTTTCAAATGACACCAGTTGCGTTTATCCAATCGTGCCAATAAACACATTACAAGTTTTATCTTGCCAGTGAAATAGTTACACCATCAAGGACCTTACTTGGTGGTTCATGATTTTAAAAATCACATGAATTGCCTGTACTTCAAAATCCTTAACGTAGTTGCTGTTTGATATTAACTGGAAAGCATGGTATACATGACCAAACTCCAAATTACAAACCAAAGGTGCCAATAATTGAAATGTATATATCCATTAGAACACAACACAAGAGAATCGTAGTTTGAAAGATTCTTCACAGGCAATCCTCTGGTATCGGTATATCTAATACCTGCCACCTCGCATACGGCTCCGGCCACTGGAACGGTACATGTTAGCTCTCTTCTCCTCGTTTGCCTCCAGAGCATCTTGTGCCCCTTCCGCCTCCGGATCAGACTTAGTAACTCGCATCATCCTATTTCTAGGACGGCCTCCCACAGTACGGAACCTGTTGCCC